CCCATTGCAAACATTAATTTTTCTTAATAATAATAATAATAACTTAAATTTACCAACTATACAAAAGATATCCAAAATTTCCCAAAAACTGTCTCACGCTAATTCGAAAAAGAAAAAATTATCATTTTTTTTTCATGCGTTAAATCAAAACACCCAACTCATATATATAATTATCATCCTCTATTTTTGTTTTTGCACCAAGGATAAAGCAACATCTACGAGATCTCACTGGTGTCGAGCATCTCGCATAGAATGGAGAGTGGCGGCCTGACTACCAAGTAACAGTTATAATATCTCAGCGAAAACATGTTTGATTGTCCGTTTCTACTAATACTGGTCTAGGAAACTAATTTGTGCACCAAATTCGGTACAAAAAAATGTATATATGTATAATTTTCAAAGCGAAAAGGGGATGGAAACCACATCCCAATCTCTAGGTGGGAAAGAAAGTGTGATAGAAAATTCGATCATTACATATTTCAAGAGTTTGATTTGTTTCAACCAAACAACATAATAAGAATAATATACTAAGAAAATGATTGACATCATGTTATTGCCAACCAAACACGTAACACTTAGGGCATGCGTGGATATAAAACTTTTCATTTCATATTCAGTCCAACTTAAAATCTAATACAACTTTAATTCAACCCACTACCATCAACTAGTGCATAACTCGTGTGATGCGGGGTGAACATTTTTAAGGCTATTTATTCAGCGTCGTTATTATATTTGTGAATAAAAAAATTGAATAAATAGAATAAAAAAACTATTATATATTATTAAAAACCTATTTGTGGACAATATTTATTTGTTTGCTTCGCAGACACGCTATCCTTCTGCAAACTAATATTTTCAAGCTCTTTGGATTAGTGACACAAGAAACAACTACAACTGGCCGTGACTGAACATTGGCTTCTTTAAGAACATGTCAACATGTGATAAAAACTGACTTGACTCTTATTAGTCGTCATGGCATAAGAAACCATTAGGAGAAACTACATCTGATGAAATTTGAAATGTACCTTAATGTCACAAAGTGTTCGAGTCATCGAGGTATCAACACCTTCTCTCATGCATTAGATTCAATCAATACATTTCATTCAAGCACTTGAATGGCGAGATTTGTAACACCAATCTCGCACCATTTCACAACCTCGACCTATAGAATCCGCAACAACATGACTGAGGTTTCAACCTTAAGATTCAACTCATAGTTCGGTACTCGGGAATATAATTGATAGTATTCAAAAACTCAGGGGTGGAGATCGAACAAAAATCATTATTTAAATCAGATTTGCACGTATTGTCATATCTCAAGTATGTTTGACCATTAATCAATTCAAAGACGTCATGTACTCATCCATAAACTCAACCACCTTCAACGGTGGGACTAGTATAACCCTATCCTTCAAATAATTGGATCATTGGTTGCATCCTTAAACATTGGATAGGTGCTCTCAACAATTGCAGCGATAAGATCATCAGTGGGCTACAACAATATATTATCGACTATGCCTGTCAAGGCACATCCATCATTGCCGTAAATGCAACTTTAGTGTTGCTATGCATTGCAACTTTACTTAAGATT